CTGCACTGTCAGTTCCGTCTCTCTCTTTCTCTCTCTCTCCCTCCATTGTTAACTTGCTGGCTGTAGTTAACACAAACATTAGCATCTGATACAATTTTTGACCACCCCCATCACTCTCAACCTACTTCCCCAGCACCGCAGTTATTGTATCTCCATTCATCAGACAAAGTAGATGCTTTTATGCTTTCAGGGATCACATCCAAGGACAGAACTAGGAGAAGATTATGGGGGGCCATGGCCCCCCTGTTTCTATAAAAAAATATGATTTGTCATGACATTTCAAAAATATATATCTTATTTTATACATAAAATGGCCTCTTAGTATTAAAAAATGCATATCTCATTCTTTTTTCATCTTGCATTCTCTGTTTATTTTACACGCAAAATTTTTTTTCGTCCTATTAGAAATTTTTATATGATATGTAAATTTTTTTTTCTATATATATATAATTTATATATCATATTGTATATACATGTGTTTGTGTATATGATGAAATATATATATATTTTTTTGTCTCTGTTAGAGAAGCTGCAATTGATGCAGTGCTTGCTGGAGTTTGATCAGCAATCTTCAAGGAGGGTGAATTGGCCATTTCAACTAGGTTATTAGACACACACTGGTGTTATGTTTAACACAGATTTTCCTGCTTTTATAGATAGGTTGTTATAGATATAGATACAACTACAATAGCAGCAGCAGTTGTGTAAAAAATTGTTCAAATTTAATGATGAATTTTAATTAAAGTTTAAAACTGACTTATTTATCATTTAAACAAATCTGAACCCAACTTTAATGGAGCTCCTCTACTTGATGGGTTCTAATTCAACTTTTTCAAAAAATACAATTTTAATAATACATAGGCAGGAAGGTAAGTAACAAATTATTTGATTTGAAAACTAAATGAGTTTTAAAATATATTTAAGATTGAGTTGTTTACTTCAAATTAATTAGTATGTTATTTAAGTTTAGTTAAAAAATTCAACAAATTTTAAAATGTATATATTCAAACTAACTTTATTCACATAACAAATTGATATGAATCGAATTCAAATAATTTAATAGCAATATTACATCTTTTTAATTTATCACTCCTGAATCACTCATAATGATGTGATATTAAGATTAGATCTGAAATGATGAATTGTTTATCAAATTAAAATTTGACACTTATCAAACAAATTATTATAAATAATTTTTAAGAATGATAAATTAAATGTCTCGACTATTTTTTATAATTTAATTAATTTTACGGTAATCGTAGTATGATGAGGACACGTCTTGAGACAACATTGGGGATTGTACAACCATGGTGGCTTTCACTATAGCAATCAAAGAACTAAAATGTCAAAATATGTGACATTAACAAATAGGATGAGGAAGAGGAAGAGGAAGAGAAAGAGAAAGAGAAATAATCACTCTATTTGATTTAGAATTTCAAAAATAATTTTTAAATTTTTAAATTTTTTATAAGTTTTGTATTTGATAAATTTTTTTAAGTTTTTTTCATAAATATTATACTTTTTAAGTATATCTAAATTAGTTATATCTAAAAAATAAAAAAAAATTACATAAAATATTAAAAAATTCACTTAAAAAAAACCATTGTAAACCAAACAAGGTGAATAATTGTTTAACAATCCTGTTTGGTTGGTTATTTTCATGTTGATAACCTGGTAAGGTTAACACATTTCAAGTTTGCAGTCTTAGATTGTGTTTGGTTTATAAATTTGAAGAAGAATTTAAAAAAGAAAAGAAAAAAATGTATAAAATATAATTATGTTTTATTTACATTTCACTCTTTTTTTTTCTTTTTTTTTCTTTTCTTTTCAAATTCCTCCCTAAATTTATGAATCAATCACACCTTTAAAAATGGGTTGAAAGGAACCTACCGATTCTCGATTATCAGGAGAGAAAAAAATGGCATTGCAATTGTTTGGTTATAAGCTAATACAACTATTTCATTTTTATTTAGCTAATTCAAAATAAAAGGAGTAAATTACACTGACCTGTACTAAAATTTGAAAAAATACAAGCGAGCTCTATACTTGTGATATAATTACACCAACTTACCTTTTAGTAAGGCTAAGGACCAAAATTAATACAAATAGTGTGAAAATACAAGAATAATAAGATAAAATATATATTTTAATGTAAAATACATGACAATATTTTTTGGGGGCTGCTATTAGCACCCACCTCTTTACTTTGCCCCATTCCATTTCTTTGAACACCCACCCAACAAAATTAATTCCTTCCTTTTTCTCTTTGAACCCCACCTTAATACTAACTATACCGCTTTTCTCTTTGAACACCCACCCAACAAAATGAATCTCTTCCCTTTTCTCTTTGAACCCCCACCTTAATACAAACTATACCTCTAACCCCAAACCCTAGCCCCCACTCCCGGCCACCACCTCCAGTACTACTACAGTTGCCTCCAATAGTCAATTCGCAGTCCACTCACCAACGGCCTCCTCCATTTCACGTCCGACCGATGCGACCATTCTTTGTTCTGAAACTCACCATACACATTGTAACACACAAGGTCTCCTTGTCAAAACAGTGCATGAGCCTAACCTTTTTGAGATCTTCGCCAAGGTCCTCATCGATTAAGGCATCAATATTGAGCTCTTTTCTTAAAAGTATTGTGTTCCTAAGCATTGCAATTGCGTCTTTCACCTTGAAATCTCTGGATTGTAAGAATTTTAGTAAAATCACATCGATTCTATTGTCCTTGAACAGCGGCACACCCCAAATCAAAACCTCCTCGAGTGGGGAATCAGTAGTCTCAATCTTCGCAATCTCAACAATCTCTTTCTCTACAACCACTGATTCAGGGGACTTTTCTTCGAATTTGGGTGCAATTTCTTCGACGATCCCTGATTCTTCTGAGATGTAGGTTTCAGTATCTGGAGGTTTTGGTGCAGTATCAAAAATGGGTTCAACTGTTACCGTCAGAATCTTTTGGGCTGGTGGTGGCTCTTCCACTTTGGTCGCCGTTGTAGGAGGCGAAGGAGGTGGATAAGTGAACTTAAGAGCCTTTTTCTTGGAACTCTATTGCTCTCCTCTCTGAACAAAATCAACAATGCAGGGACTTTTCGGGGATCGATTGGCTTTGGTTTCTCCGATTCAATTACTTCTACTACAGTAGGCTAGGGTTTGGGCTGTGGCAAACAGTGACAGGAAGGGTAGGCGACAGTCGGAGGTGATGGGAATGGCTAGGGTTAGGGTGTGAGAAATTAGGATTAGAAGATTAAAGATAAAAGTTGATTAAGGCCGAATTGTGTAACATTGAGGCCGTTAATTAGGATCTCTTAACTTTACTTTCTTGTTAAACTGTATATTTTATGTGTGTTTAATGTCAATCAGGTTGTACATAGTCGGAGCATAAAATGGGCAAAAAGACAGAATTTGGAGCGAAAACAGATTCCTGCACGTGCGTTGACTTTTTCACACGTGCCTTGACTTTTCTAGGAAAATGTGCCTGATGTTTTAAACCTGTTTGGAAGAGAGCAAAAGTATAAATAGGTAAGAAAAAGGCTAGATTAGGGTTCTGAAATTGTTTTGGCAAGAAAAGAGAGGCTAGGGTTTCAAGAGAGGATTGGCTCCAAAAAGCTTGAAGGATACTTCCGTGGGGTCTTCTTCCTCATCTTCTTCCTCTTCTCACTCTTCCATAAGTGGCTAGTTGTCTTTTCTAGGGCTTTGATGAAACTCTAACCATGTAATTAGTTTTTTGTTTTTAATTTTTAATTGTGTAAAGGTTTGAACATTTGTATGGTATTTTAGAAGTCTTATATATATATTTTCCATTATTTCTTCAAATATTCGATTTTCTGTGATTGTTGAATGTTTTCCATACAAACGCTTTCTATTCTTTCACATTTAAGGTATGAGACGAACCATACTACGAGAGACGAGTCGTGTCACTACCTTAGTTCAGAGTGAACGATTCGTACTACTTGAGATAGTTCGTGCTCGTACATTGAACGTGATAATTTTCTTGTTAAATGCTTTGAACTTGTAATTGCGAAACATTATTTCATTCGAACCATAACATAATTGATTTCAATTGAAAACCCTATTTACATGACTAGTGATGAATTCTTTGCCCAAGGTTTTTCCCCCAATTAATAAATCCAATTTTATTTATAATTAATAATTTAATTACTTGGTTTAATTTATTTGTTATTAAATTAAGTTATGAACAATTAATCTTTTTATCAAAATTAATTTAAAAATTTAACAACTAAATTAATTTAATTTCACAATTGTCCTTGTGGATCGATACCTGGACTTGCTATTATTTTAAAAGAATTTAGTGTAATTTTGTATTTAATTTTGGTGTATTCAACGACCCATCAAAAGTAAAAATCAAACTTCATGGTTGGACAAAATTGGAATTAAAAAAAGAAAAGAAAAAAAAAGAGATGGAGATCCAAAGAAGAAAAATAAGTGCTAATAACACCTATTATTTTTCCATCCATGTAACTAATAAATTATTGATAAAAATGGGCTAAACATTATGCAAAATAAAACATTAAGAGATTCCAATATATTATGCAAAAACTGTGCGGCTGGCTAGATTTTCTCCCAACTTCAAGGGAGGTCAGTGTAATTTACACAAATAAAAACATACTTCATCTTTGGTATGTGTATCTGAATGCAGGCCCATCCAAACCATCTTCACTAAACCATTAGAACCTCATTTGACAATAAAAAGGCCAAAACTGAACCCCAAAAGAACTTGTAAAAAGAGAACATGGAAACTCATACGTTCACCACCAATTTCTTTCACTAAACTGGGCAGAGAGCATCACAGATCAATAATTGTCTTGGCAAAAGTCAAACCATCCCAGAGTGTACTATATATGATGACGATTGATAAGACAACATTAGTCTGTAGTCTGTGCTAAGAAAATTTAACCAAACTAGAACCTCTTAAAATAAGCATGCTGAAAGAATTCCATTGCCAAGAAACTAACCTACCAAAATCTAAATATGAAGAAACTATAGAACTCGCCGTGGTGACGTGAATTGATTAATTGCAAGCAACTCAAAAATACAAGTGTTCGAGTATCAGTTGATCGCTTCAACTAATGATACAAGTTACTAAACTGTGCATGGCTAGCACTCGGTTTCTTTGCATAGGGTTACATGGTTAAAGAGGAGGTTGGTGTAGGTGATTAAGAAGATTCCAGTTCAATGATCATGACTGGTAAACTCAGAAGGATCCTCATTCCATCACTTGATCAAGAAACATCCCTATTCTGATGATAAAGGCATACATGCATATATACCTTGTATGAATGATCCTCATTCATACAAAATGTGCGATTATACCTGCCGAGTCTGGGAAGGATCCTCATTCCGCCACGTAGGATGATTAAGGAGCTTTATTCCAGCCCTGCCCAATTTAAGCCACATTATATCATACGCTATTGCCCAGTTGCTTTCGTCAATGAAGTGAAGTTCAACCTGCAGATAATTAAACAAAAAAAACAACCAACCAGTTTAAATTAAACAGAATCACGTACCTAAAAGATATTTTGCAATAAGAAAAGTCAACCATCTCAGATGGTTCAATTGTAACTTTAATTGACAGATAATTCACCTGATACGTGGCTTCATAGGGGCCACCGATGTAGAAGTGGATGCTACATTGGAGATAGGTGCAGTGAGCTCGATAGGCTTTATTCAGGTAGAAAAGGAGAGACAAGTGTCAGACATGAACAAACTCAATATGTTTAGCTAACAATTAGCTACCAGATTTGGTAACAGGTGAGATTTGTTATTCCCTGAAGAAGAATACTGAGATTAAAAAAGCCTAAAAAATTATATCTAGATGACACAAGATATGCAACACAGATATGTACTGAAAACTACGTCGTGTAAAGTAGTTCATTGATCAACTGCAAGGGGGTTGAGGGGTCAAAAGAAGAGTTCAAATTTCATAGATTGATACTGCTGAATTTTTTCTTTTTTTCTTTTTGCAAGGGTGTGTAAGGGGGTAAAATTTACACTAACCTCACTTGATATTTGGAAAAAATACAATTAGCCCCACATTTTTTACATAATAACACCGGTCTCTCTTCATGGTGGATTTAGAGAAAAAGAGAGGGGGAAGGGGAGTTAGACGGACGAGAGGGAGTGTAATCTCACAAATTGGGTAAGTGTAATCTCACAAATTTGATAGTTCTGTTAGTCTGGCCATTACTAAAGGGAAGGTTTGTGTAATGATGTCGAGATTGTAGGACTAACAGTATTTTCTCCAAATCTCAAAGGAGGTCAGTGTAATTTACCCTCTTTTTTTGTGTGTAACCTGGAATTTGAGGTTAATGAATGCATCCAAAAACAGAAACCGAAGCAGTATGAACCCATCAAGGAATTTACAGGCACGTATTAAAGAATAGAAAATCAGGAACAGAAAATATATATAAATAAATGGTGTGCACATGTTAAGGTGAAAGGAGTTATCTGACAACACCTCAAGCTCCTCCAAGCCTCCATTCTGCAAGAACTTCAAGGAAGAACCAACCCCTTTCCCTGCTTCTGCAACGCCGCCTTCTTCTTTGGCTGTCAAAGGCTGCACAGGGCCAACTTTCATGGTCCCACCAAAATCATGAACTTGATTAGTCAATCCTGCATCATTTTCAAGATCATCAAGTTCTTTCAAAGGACTATGGTGACAGCTCACAAATGGTCCACTGGGTTGCTCCGTGTTAAGCTGCTTCTCCTCCCCTGCGCTTAATGAAACACTCGAAAAAGATGAAGGCCCAGCAGGTGGGCTGCATCTAACAGATCCTTCAACTTCCTGATCACGGCACAAGATATTCTTGGGACATCTTGCATTATTTGAGATGCTCTCTACATCAGCTTCAAATTGTTCGTTTGCGCTTGCTTCAACAGGCAAACCTGCATGATCAGTCTCTACTGCATGACATTGGGGTCCCCTTGAGTTAGTCCCCGAATCAACTTCATCCAATTTTATCTTCTTTCCATTCATTGCAGCATCTGGAGAACCAGAGCTACGCTTTCTTTTTGCAGTAGAAAGAGTTTCTCCAGCTACTTTTGTAGGTTGGGGTGGCCGAATCCCACCCGGAAATACAAAAAGAGGAATGTTCTTACGTCTTACGTGGCATACATCGATCAACGTTCCGGCACTCCAGGAGTGGTACCTGAACACAGAGTCCTTAAATTCCTTCACAGTCAACCTTATATCGAATTGTTCACCTTCCTGAGCATTAGTGCCTGCCTTCCGCCGCAGACCCATGAAATAACAATAATGAAACGGTCTGGATTTATCAGAAAATTCACCAGGGTGTGGGTGGCACTGAAGCATGCTATTTGTGTCCCTCTCAATCTGAATAATTGAATGCCAGCATGAGAATAGAGCTTCAAGAAAATTTTAGTGCTGACGACAAAATAAGAAAAGAGAAAGATGGTATCACCTTCAAAGTAAGCTGGCGAATCCGAGACTCAATCCAGCCTTTCCATTTCCTCAAGTTATCATCATTCTCAGCTGCTATATCTATCTGCAAATAATTTCCGTATGCTTCAAAAAATGGGAAAGGCTCAAACAGGGTCATCCATCCAGCCTCGTTCTTCACCATCGACTGCAAGAATACATAAAATTATAGAAAAAAAAATTACATAGCACAAATAAATAATAGTCAGTCAGAGAGAGAGAGAGAGAGAGAGAACAGTTATAGAGCTAGCTCACAGCAGAATGAAAAGAGTTTCAAAGCACCAAGTGAGGTAGTCAAAATCTCAATTGACATCAACCATGGCCTCAAAAGGGAATAACACTTTTAGAAGAAGACTCGGGTCAAATGTGGAAGTGAACAAAACTAGGATTCTTAACCCAATGAGGATTGGAAATTCAGAAGCTAACTTCAAGGCCGTGAATAATATGTTTCGTCCCATGACAAAACCCTTTCCAAAATGGAGAAACCCCAGCAACAGCAGATGCTCAAATGTTTTACAAACAACTAGTTCTAATGATTGTTGATGAAATTTTTCATCAATATACATGTTTAGTGTTATTTATATCGAACCACATTCCTACAAAGAAGACACTGGTATTTTCCAATGTGTATATATGGGGAGCCTCTAAATGCACACCAAAAACTTAGTTGGACACACGATTTTTCAAAAAAAAAAAATTATTTAATACCATTTTACCCCAAAATAAAATTACCAAAAGGGACAAACCCTAACCCTAACTCCAGCCAGCCACTCCCTGCTCCGGCCAACCTTCCCCAAACTCCTCCTCGTCGCCACAACCTCCTCCCCCCCTTCTTCGACGTGACCCCCTCCCTCACTGCAAAGCCCTAACCCAGCTCGTCTCCCCGGCCAAGACCCTGCAATTCCCTCCCCCCTTCCAGCCCCTCCCCATCACGAACCTCCCTCCCCTGCCTTCCTCGCCACGAACCCTAGAACCAGGGTTTTCAGAGACTCAGAGAGACAGAGAGAAGGTGAGGGAGCTACAGACAGTAGGGAGGGGATAGGGGTGTCAGAAGGCAGTAGTGGAGGTGGCTAGGAGGGTGTGGTTGGTGAGTGGGTCGAGGTATAGTTGGGATTATTTGGGTGTTCAACAAAAAATAATAATAATAATAATAATTCAAATTTGGAGTGGGATGCCTTAAGAAATCAGTGTCCAACAAATTTTTTTGGGTGCATATAGAGGCACCCATATATATGGTCAAATCACATACCAGAATTACACTAATAAGCTTCTTACAAATATTTATATCAAAATGCTAATATATTTTACTTAACTAAATGAAAAATACAAGAAAAAACTACGAAATGAAATTATAAGACACCTGGATTATCATAATGTCTCAATATCCAGATCATAGCAAATAGACATATCAGAAATCATTAAACCAACTAACCAAGCCAAGCATTTCTAAAAAAAACACTCAAGTTTTTACAGGCCGGTTTGCATACCAAGAAAGGATTGGAAGCCTGGGATAATTAGGCCCCAGACATCCAACCCAAGGACTATATATAACATGTACCACCCTGATCTAGTGTTTGATGGGCACTGCAATAATGGATGGGATAAGTGGGCCCACATGACGTCAACTGTTAAAACATGTGCCAAGGTTTATCCCACCATCAGTTTAATCCCTGGCCTAATAATCTGCACACCACCACTAACCACCCCCTCCCTCTCCCCATCCCTTTGTGATCTTAAAGAAGAAACAAGAAGATCCAATACTTCTAAAAATTTATGATTTGGGATTTATGATTAACACAACCCTTGTACAAACAAATTTAGGCCAAAATAGTTCATTTCACCACTGTACATTAATGGAAGAAACAAAAACAAAACAAAAACAAAAACAAAAGAAAGGAGAAGGAAGAGGGAAGCTAGAAGAATAATTATCACAAGTGAGAAAAATACCCACTCCATTTTTTTCAATAATGCTAGGATAAGCACATTTATGTACCAAAAGTTGTTTACCATCCCATGAGTCACCATTGTATTATTCTAATTGGTCCCTTCACTCGTGTCTGTTACCAATGCAATAGTATGGTAAACAAAATATGGTTAGCAAACGTAGTCATCATAACATTTTTTCCCTCCTGTGTACCCACTTTACATACTACTAACCAAAAGTTGTTTACCATCCCATGTGTCACCATTGTATTATTCTAATTGGTTCCTTCACTCGTGTCTGTTACCAATGCAATAGTATGGTAAACAAAATATGGTTAGCAAATGTAGTCATCATAACATTTTTTTCCCTCCTGTGTACCCACTTTGCATGTGTACCCACTTTGCATACTATTAACTAATGGGTGCAAATCCCTAACAGTTAAAATGGTGAGGTACGCAAAGCTGGCATAAGTCTACTCTCTTTGCATACTATAAACTAATGGGTGCAAATCCCTACCAGTTAAAATGGTGAGGTACGCAAAGCTGGCATAAGTCTACTCTCTTTGCATACTATAAACTAATGGGTGCAAATCCCTACCAGTTAAAATGGTTTTTTTCCCTCCTGTGTACCCACTTTGCCTGTGTACCCACTTTGCATACTATTAACTAATGGGTGCAAATCCCTAACAGTTAAAATGGTGAGGTACGCAAAGCTGGCATAAGTCTACCCTCTTTGCATACTATAAACTAATGGGTGCAAATCCCTACCAGTTAAAATGGTGAGGTACGCAAAGCTGGTATAAGTCAACGCATCATTAAGTAAATTGTAGTTACTCAAAAAAAGTACAAAAATTCACACAACATTGCCAATCAATAACTTATGTTTATCTAAATGTGGAGAAAATTTTTTGATAGAGCTGGCTTCCATTCTACCTCATCACTACGAATAAGGTCCCCTCATACTTACACCCTTGTCCACGTGGGTCCTCCCAATTTGACTTCAGGTTTAATGCAACACATAAAGGAAAAAGAGACGTCTCATCTCTAGGAACATTTTATAGATTTATCCCACAACTGTATATGACCAACATAAACATTTTATAGATTTATCCCACAACTGTATAAGACCAACATAAACAAGGACCAGACACTAGGTAATCAGAAGTTATCCTATGGGTCAGGAAGACCATGTGTCCATCCAATGAGATCATGTCATTTCTCCACCATTTCCTTGTTTTTAGTGCCATGTAATTCTTAGGCCACTGTTATTGGTTGGGTACACCACCAACCTAGAATTCTTGGAAGACAGGATAATTCCTCCTAGGTAACAGAGAAATATTTCCAAGCAACAAATTAACAAAGCCGACACTAGCCACCAAGCTCTAAAAAACAGCCAATCTGAGGGAGGTATATTCATAGAAACTTCAAGAAGACAAACATTTGGAGAAAAGTCATGCATGAAGCATTTATAAGCTTACATGTTCAATTAAACAAGTTCCAACAGCAGCCATAGAGAAGCAGGCAATCAAACATAAAAATTCATGTTCACAAGGGCAATAAAACATAAAAATATTCCTTAGAAAACAGAAAGTCAACAGATCCAAGATTCTAAGACATGGACAAAAGTAACTAGGATGGAAAAGGACGATATGCCTACCAAGTAGAAAAGTGGTGATAAACATAATTGAAGTCAAAGAATAATGGTTAAATTATAGTAACTTATAGTACATTGAACATCAAAGGTTGTATAGCTAAAACTGCAGCATTGTTCTTGCGAAATAAAGCTTAATCAACCAAATTGCCACAAATCATCTAATGATTCACACTGTAAACATCTCCAAAATCAACATAAAACTTAAAATTCACGAAGGTACCTCACAAATTTCATTGCCTCTCTGAAACTCATCCATCATAACACGCAATGTACTTGTTGACACGTTGTAACTAGAGTTCATGCAAGGATATGCAGGCGTTATGATCGGCATCAGATGCTGTCTGTCCCGAAAATTTTTTCTAGGATCCCAAACAGAAAGTCCCAGAGAACCTTCCTGAATAGGACATAGCATGACAGGGTTTGGCCACCTCCACAGATTATAGACCCTGAAGAACCTTGACACCAACATGCTAGGCAGTGCATTTGGGTAAAGCTGGCATATACGAGCAACGAGTAATGCCCAATTAATACCACCAAGAAACCCCGTAACCTGGTTGCAACAGAAACAAATAATTGACATAGTCAGATAAATGCGACAACAGTGGTCACAACAGAGAAACATTCAGCATGAAAATAACTTCCTCACATTTGAATAAACCCCACGTCTCTTTGCCCAGAATCTCATACATCTCAGCGTAGTACGAAAGTTCTGACAAGACAAACAATAAACATAATCAGCAATGCATATATAAAAATAAAGTAAGAAAAAGGCAAATTTGTGCACAAATATATTAAATACAACCTGAATATTTGGCACCAAACGCAAAATTTGGTCTGTAACTCTGCATCCATTGAGGCTACGAACTGTCTGTTCATCTACATTCTGTAGTATTGAATCTTGTGAAACATCCAAGTCCTGCAATAGATGAACATGTTTGGAGATGCCTCAACCAACCTTAAAAAGTTTTGACAAGTTGACAGTCAGATTCCACAAGCCATAAAAGTATTAACTGAAGCCTGCCACGCTAAGAATACTAATGTAGGCTCTTAGTCAGATGATGATAATAAATACACACTTTTCCATAACACAACATATTTAATAAAGAATGGCATACAAACAAACAAGAGGGAAGAAATATACTTCAAACTATTCTCTTTGTTAAGAGTAGGCCCTAAACACAATGGCATGCCTAAACAAAGATTAGCCAAATATGAGGATGTTCAAGAATGAAGGTCTCGATGAATTTATCAACAAAAAAAAAAAAAAATGAAGGTCTCAATGATAAACTGCACAGAGAAGTGGCAATGTAAGGAGGCAAAATCAGAATGAGGTAGAACTTGAAAAAAAGTAGGCAAATTGAGATTTTCACATGGGCCCACTAAGGACATCTCCAATCACATTTTAGTTAAATTTATTCCTATTCTATGATGATGACTATAACCTAATATGCAGCTCACTGTTGTTTTATTGTTATTTTCTTACGTTGAACCAAGGGTATTCTAGTAAATTCAAAGAATTCTTGCTCATAGGTTGTAATAGTGGTACGAGGGTCTTATTTTTAGTATAAATATACTATTAGGTCCTTAATTTGACCCAATAGTATATACAAAGAAGACCAACAGAGGCAGTAGTGAAGAGATGCGATACAATGACGGTAGATGGAAGTGTTAGGAAGGGGCAGACCTAGATTGATGTGGGCTGGTGTAGTAAATAGAGATATGAATCGCCTCAATTTAACTAACGACATGACCTTGAATAGAGTCAAATGGAAAAAAAGGATTTATGTGGGACTTAAGGCTTGATTGGGTTTATACTATTGGGTCCTTATCCATGATTCATACCATGGATTATTATATGATGTAATCACTAAAACTATCTAGCAAAGGGATTCACAGTAGGAACCCTTGAATATTCTTATCTTTAGTTCTCCACAATCAAATTTTGTTCTTTGAATGACAAACAGACCCATAACAACAACTAAATTACGGAAATCCAACACTAATCTCCAAACAAAGAAAATTCTAATCCTGATCCTCTTCAATCTATAAAAGCTTACAATCTTAATCCCAAATCTATAAGCTTTCCGTAGCTTTACCCTAAGACAGAATCGACCACAAGCAACATTATTTTAGTTCCTAACATGCTGCTCTGCGTTAGAATGTACACACACAAACCAAGCATCCAAGCAAGGGGTCATATGCATAGCTTCACAAAAAAGAAACGGGGGTGAGTATAAGATTGGGAGCACCTAGGGAGTGTCCATGAAGCACAGACACCTCTCCGGAGGTGACATACAAGTGTCCGACACATGTCAAACATGGACACATTCTGAACACATGTCAGACAAGCTAGAGAGAGTCGAACAACATTGAGACATTTAAGACACGCTAGAGACACGTTGGCGAAGCATTAAGGACCATTTTTTAATTAAAATAGCATATTTAAGGTTGATAAATTTCATAAACTTAAATATTTGACATAAAATAAATATCAAATATTTAAAAATATGAAATAAAAATAAATAAGTAAAATTATATGTTTGCACGTGTCTGTAATGTGTCGTGTCATGCATTTTATAAAAATTTCTGTGTCCGCATATCCATGTCGTGTCGTGTTATGTGTATGTGTCCATACTTCTTAGGTAATTTTTTTCTTAGTTGTAATATATATGTTAAACAATTCCAATAAATATGAATTTTAAAATTACAAAGTCGAAGGAAATTGCTCCTAGACAGCGGTGAACAGGCCAATTTAACCTCTTAAAATTACCAGCCAATTCTCAGTTAGGATTTTTATTACAAATCACAACAATAAGTAAGTACGTAAAGCATAACACAGTGACTTAACATGGAAAACCTCAAGGAAAACTCTTCGAGAGGAAAAACTCATAATCCCAACTCCCGAACAATAGTCCACTAAGCAAATCTAAAATTTCAAAAACGATAGACACGAGAACTTACAACCACACCTCAATTAACCTAATTTTGAGATCTTTCTAGTACTCCACAATCACCAGGAAGGAAGCACCTCACCTACGTCTTTGCACTAACAGCTCCATTGGTATGATACAATGTATTTAAGGGTTTTGAAGGAAAAATACTCAATAAAATCACTCGTTTACAAGACTCAATAATACGCTTAAAAGTCAGCATCCCTAAAAACAAGAATTGTGAAGGTATATAGATGCACAGTGAATACTAAAACCTAAAACAGGTCGAGTTGCAGAAAACATATGTTGGGTGCTCAATTACCTAGCGAGTGTTGCTCACTAGAATTTTTAAAGACTCAGGTAAAAGATTGAGCGCTCAATCATTGAGTGTGAGTGTTACCTACTAGAGAATGAACCCCCAAAAAAGTTTATAAAATGAATCAACACTAGCACTACATCACCTACGGCAATCAAACAACTAGCAACCACTAAGCAAGCATCAGTCTTTGCTTCTTGTTAAAAATACAAGTTTGAAAGGTAAAAAAAACAATACCCAAGGTTTAAAATAACTCCTCATACTCAAAAAACATTTCCAATGAGGTAACTTAGAACAACATGACCCTCGGATGCAATCTACATGAATACATGTATACTTGTCTGAGTAAAGGAACAACTGAACTTTGACGCTTGTGACAGCTGACCGGCATCTTCAACAGAACACACTTATAGACATCTATCTAAACTACCACGCCCAATTACATTATAAGCCCAGGACGCATTTTGTCACAGAGAAATAGTCTAAAACCTATATCTTCTCTCAAACTCGATGGCTTCCCCCACCGCAGCCCAAGTTTTTCACTAAACCTACCAAATGATTCTTCACAAAAAAATCTCCTCCCAACTTCCAGTTGTGGTGTAAACTAGTCCACCAGAGAATATCAACACCACATAATATACCAAATGATAAATGGAATACATTTTCCTTGTTTATAAAACTCCAATTATTAACAGTAATAACTAGTACTAGCTCTAAAAATTAGGGGAACAAATCAAACTGACAGGACTTTTCGGTTTTTATTTAAGATCTAAATATCAGAAGATGTAAGAATACTACAGCTGGCACAAAGATTTATGAGCAGCAATTTTGAACTAATATTTATACTCTTTTCATTTAAACATGAAAAGGATTGGTCACTTAAAAACAAAGTAAATTTTTACATCTTTGTATTATCTTTTTTTATATATATAAGTCATCAAGAATTAGATCTTTATACTATCATCCAGGAAGATAATAGTGGTAACCTTTTACTTTTAGGATGCACACTTGCCCCCTACACAAGCAACACTATCATCAAAAACGAAGGTCACTACAAAAGTTGAATACTTAAAACCATTTTATCCTGTTTTTCGTTAAATGTTTGTTAAACCACATTCAGAAAGTGAATACAAGGTAACCATAAAAAAAAATTACTTACTTCAGGAATAGCCCAAAGTGCTACATTTGCATAAAGAAGATCTATTGACACACCACTGAATTTGAACTTCAATACTGGAACATGAGCATCAGGGACTGGATGTAATTCTTGAATTTCAGGCATCTCTGCCAGCATTTTGTATAATTTACCAAAGAAATCTTCCTGCATTGAGTTATAGAAGAAAAATTAGACTTATCAATCTCCATTAGAGGAAAACTAAAAAGAAATGCAAATTGCTGCTCACGGAGGAGAAAGTTCTCATCATACATCTCGAGTGGCATGTCTTGGTCCAACACATAGTGTGTCTATATCCGCACCAGGGCCGTGTACCTATTTGACAACCACACCCAGAGAAACTCAATTTAAAAAATTCAATATAACAACAAACAAGATTTATAATCTTAAGGCTAACTCTTAAGCAATCCTTAGCAAAATTTGTGTTCACATCATAACAAGCAAGGATATGGACACAAGACATGGTGATTTCATAAAAAATGGGGACACAGACACGATGGGGACATAGCAATAACATATTTTTTCATATATTTTTATTTTCTATATAGATTAATATTACATTCACAAACAATCAAAATTAACAAAAACTAACACTAATTCGATATTTAAAGAAAAATATATCAATTTCAAATTAACATTTATAATTTATATCTTTTTTATGGATCATCTATTAAGTATTTAAACCTAAACAAAAAGTAATAAATATTCGACATCCAACATTTATCAAAAGCACTATAAAAAATTGGGGGGGAGGGGGGAATTAGTTGTTGTGTTCCTAGCATGATCCCAGCATGTCCCAGACATGTTCACTAGAAAAAACTAATTAAATAAAGGGACACATCACATGAAGTGTCCCATACGTCTCCCCGCAATGTCCCTGTGTCCAACACCCTTACGACGTTTGTTTTGGAGTGTTGATGCTTCATAGCTCACATCACATTACTATTATTATTATTATTAATATGTTAAATTTCTGAAGTAATGGTAATCTATCTCCTTTTGGTTTTTTAGTTAATAAATATAGTTTGAATTGGTCCTTCATAGTTTTCACTGCTCTTTGAGTTTACATTGGCGATCATTATTTTATATATGTAAATCTATGTTTCTCTAAAAGGTAGCCTTATTCATATGGCTAAATGTTGAGCCCCAAGTCCGCCAAACACAGTTGAACCACACTTAAAAAAACTTCTTGATTCAATCATATCAAGAGCAAGAAGATATTTGGCAGGAGGTTCTTTACTGAGAGCGGAAGCAATTTCTCCCGCTAAAATTGTGCCCATCTGATCTGGAGGGAGGGTATATGGGTGCCTATGTTGAATATTTAAAAGTGATAAAGAAGTTTAGAAATATATAAAAGTCAGTTTGGAGGCTGTGATTTTTTTCAACTACACCCAGTCCCCAACGAAGGGGCAATCACACATACCCACACAGGAAAAAGCGGAAATATGAAGGGAGGGACGGAGAGAGGGAAAGAAGAAAAAAACTGAGAAAATGATTTTTTTCAACCTCGTGGTGTCCTACAGAGCACCCATTAAAGAGTATCTAATGGTGTAAATAGCACCAATGTTACTAATAAACCTATTGGAAATTTCAATTTACATCTTTATTCTTTCAAAATGACTCATTCGCATTTAATAATTTGACCTTTAGTCCAACATTGCCTTAAAATACATTTTACACCTTAGATACCAAATCTCATAATCCATAAGACCAAAGACAACTAATTTTGACCTAAGATAAAATTATAGTAGCAGCCTTATACCAATCTTTTGTTAAAAAATATGCCAAACCATATTCACAAAAGATGATAAACTTAAGGAAATATAGCTTTTACATTTTTGTTTGAAATAGTTCATTATTTTCTTCAATTAACGTGAAATTGTTAGGTAATTGGTGAAACAGAGCATACATTGTGTGGATTACTTGAGGAATGGTAAAACTTCACTTTTGCCCTCCTAGTTTGATAAATATTCAATTTTGCTATTGAGATACTTTAAAAAAATTTACCCTCTTATTCACAAAGCTTGTAATCAAACACATTCCAAAGTAACCTATGAACAAGTATCCATTCTCTCACTGCTATCTTCATACAAAAACATTAAACATATTATTTACTTCTCTAATTGATTCCTAAATTATTTTGTAATTCTTTAGTTACTAGTGAATAAACATAAAACGTAAACATCACCTTTTTTTTGTAACATTTTATTTTAAATTTTATACTATTTTACCTTAGAAATTATATAAGTTGCAATTTAATTTCCTTTTCTTCTTTGATAAAAGTCAATTAAAGTAAATTAACTTAATTTGGATTTCGTATTAACTAAACAATCCATTTTTTTTTACTTGCTATAAAATTAAGCTGTGAAGCATATAATATTAAACTTCAAACATTGTGTACTTGAGTACTAATTTCTTTTATTTTAATTTCATTAGTTAGCGGTGTTGAACATTAAAATATATGCAATCATTAGACACTATACACTAATTACTTGAGTATTATTATATGACTTTCACAAGAAATCATGAAAACATGTTTGAATTAATTGCTATGTAGTATAATTTCTTGTAGGCTTCAAAGAAGATAAAATTAAATGGAAATGTTTTCCAAAAAATTAATAAATGGAAATAATTGTCTTCGAAAATAAATGGGATACATAAAAACTTGAGATTAAGGCAAAGTTTGAGAACCACCTAAAATAGTCCAAAAAGCAAAAAAGTTAACACCAAAAATCAACTCTTTTCTCTTACTTTTCTACACGTTTTTTCATAAAAAATCAAAAGGCCAACTAAAATAGCTAGTTCTCAAAACAAACCTAAGTAGCTTAACTGATATTCAATAGTTAAAATATAATATGGATAAAATAAACAAAAATCATTTTTATAACGTTTGTGAAGGTGTTTGGGAAGATAACTTTTTGGCTAAAATAACCAAAAAACCAAAACACCCAATCACATCATTCTCTACTTTTTTTGCATGCTTTTTTCGTAAAAAGCCAACTAAAATAGTCAATTTCCAAACGAGCTCTCAAGGCATAATCGAAAATTTGTCAAACTAGGACAGTAAAAATGAGTTTGATGAATGTCTGGAAATTGATCTAAATTTTTTCCACATATAATTCAAAATTGGATTTTGATAGGTTCAATACAACTTAACATTCAAATTGATGCTAACTTGACAATGGCCCATTGAATAAAATTTATAGAGATGCCACCATCCCTACTTCAACAAGGTAGTACACATTTTAGAGTATCTCCAATGGTTCAATAGCTAACAACTAAAATAGCTAGTTCTCAAAACAAACCTAAGTAGCTTAACTGATATTCAATAGTTAAAATATAATATGGATAAAATAAACAAAAATCATTTTTATAAGCTTTGTGAAGGTGTTTGGGAAGATAACTTTTTGGCTAAAATAACCAAAAAACCAAAACACCCAATCACATCATTCTCTACTTTTTTTGCATGCTTTTTTCGTAAAAAGCCAACTAAAATAGCCAATTCCCAAACGAGCTCTCAAGGCATAATCGAAAATTTGTCAAACTAGGACAGTAAAAATGAGTTTGATGAATGTCGGGAAATTGATCTAAATTTTTTCCACATATAATTCAAAATTGGATTTTGATAGGTTCAATACAACTTAACATTCAAATTGATGCTAACTTGACAATGACCCATTGAATAAAATTTATAGAGATGCCATCATCCCTACTTCAACAAGGTAGTACACATTTTAGAGTATCTCCAATGGTTCAATAGCTAAATGGCTAGCTATTGATATATTTTAGCAATGTTGCTCCGATGGTACAAATGCTATTTCTTCTATTTTTCTCATAAAATGCCAAATATAAACATTACATGTGGGTCCCATAAAAGGGTTATGAAACTTTAGCTACTATAGCTAAACCTTGTGCCAAATGTGACACAAGGTTTAGGTAGCCATTGGAGAGCCCAAAATTGAGTTTTGTGCTATTTTTGACAATAGCAAGACTTTTGCCATACTGTTGTAGTCAATTTGTAAAATCAATGTGGACAAGCAAGTAAAATCAATTCGTAGCAAAAAAGTAGAGAGAGAGAGAGAGAGAGAGAGAGAGGGGACTCATACACCCAGCCGATAGGAACCAAATGTGAAGATCTTTGCATTAGCTTCTTGGACTAGTTGCTCATTGAAACCTTTAGCACGGGAAATGTTCTTCACCCATATCTTCACTATCTGTTCAATTTGCAACAAGTTTGTATTAACAAATTACACAAGCATAATTTAACAATAGTAACTCCAAATGACAAGACAATTCAACCTGGTCTAATCTCCCCAACACTTCCTCCCTTTTAATAGCTTCTTCCTGACTTTCATATAATCCCACATCTGCAAGAAACTGATTGCACACACAAACCATAATCAAATATATACAATCAAAGATCTGCAACTCCAAATAAAACTTTTATGTTCAACTTGGTTGTGTAAGAATAGGTACTAAATGTTTTTGATCATAGATATTTCAGTTGTATGGAACCACAAAAGAGAAACCTTTACTCACGTGAGCTTCACCAAACTATCCACTTGGATGCATTTCTTAACACACATCTATGTGTTCAAAGCAAGAAAACATTTTGTGTGCAATGCAACTGGTGCAGGCATTTCTGACCAAAATTTGAATAATTCTTCAGGAAAGGGGGGCAAAGTACAAAAGGCTACAAAAGAGCATCTCTCAGTTTAGCTTTATACATATGTATACATTTGGTATAGTTTCTCAAATTTTTCCTCATTATCAAAACAAGCATAGAATTAAAAATTGTAGATCACTCACTTTCCAACAAGTAATGGCTTACTATTCCGTGTTCAAAAATTAAAATTCTTCTATTTTGCATCATTACCAACCAACAAAAATGTACACAAAATGAGACATAATAGATTTCTTTCAATAGTAGCATCAAAAACCAACCTTTTCCAACTCGCGGGTCTTAATCACGTCGAACTCTGTAGGCCCTCCGGTAAATATTGGATCCGACAAGCCAAGTCGCTGTGCAGTGGCAGAGTTGCTCGATCCAGGGCTACCCATAAATTCCTTTTCTTTCCTTTTAATCTTTCTTCTTTCCTTTTTTTTTAAATTTTCTTTTCTTTTGTTTGCGTTTCTGTGTGAATATTTTATCAAAACTTAAAAACGCATATGACAATAATAATATATCTTGCAATTTTCTCCTTTTCTGTTTCAAAATCAAAGACAATCGAGCTTCAATTATATCAGCGCAACAGCGATATAGCAATAAATAAAAATTAATAAAAGTTTCACTAATCCTCTACTAATACGCAAAACTGTTCATTAATTCGAGAGAGACTATACAAATCAAAACCCTAAATAGTTTAATTGGATGATAATAATGATACAACGCCTCCACCAAACATATATATATATTTCTCTCTCACTCTATAAATAAAGCAAATTTAATCCAAAAACAAGAGACCAGATCAGGGATCGAAACCCTAGAGTGCATAAATTACGAAGGAAGCCCGGTCTGAGGTCGGTTGATTCGGAATATACGATTCTCGATAGGGTCTCTCGTCTTTTCGATTGAAGAACCTAACTAGACCTGCCCAAACAAAGGATCGAATCGAACCCATTAGACTATACAAGGTGAATATACAGAGAGAGAGAGAGAGAGACTCTTACCAACAGAGAGTGAGAGACTGGTGGAAGAATAGAAAGTAGAGGAGAGAGAAGGAGAAGGCAATCAGTTGCGCCGATGATGCTGATGACGACGACAGAAGAGATATTTATCTTTTCATAAAATTTGCCCTATAATACTATGCAAAATAAGGTTTAGGCCATGTTTATTTGGTCGGACTGGATTAGCATTTTCATGACTAATAATTCTGAGATTATGAATTCGTTGGATTATATATCATATCTTAATTAAAAGTTAAGTTTAAAATAATTAGTCTATACTTCAATTGTTTAACCAAACATCGGATTAATAATTTTATTGAACTATTAGTCCAATCCCAAGTTCATGTCCATCCAAACAAACATGGCCTTAAGGTATTTATAATTTCTTAAATCTCAGAGGTATCTATAATTTTACTAAACTTCGAGAGGTATATGTAATTTGTCCAAATTTTTTCAAGATAAAATTATTCAAAATATGAAGGGTCTATGCACTTAAATGAAGGATATGTTTGATTTGGTTTTGAAAGAGTAGTTTTTAAAAATTGTTTTAAGAAGAGAGTTTAGAAATTTTTTTGATTTGTTTGGTTATGTATTTTGAAAGTAGTTTTGGAGTTTGGAATGATTTGATATTTTATTGTAATTGACTAGATGTGTGTAAGAGAAAAAATGATTGAAAATGAGAGAGAAAAGAGAAAAGTGATTGATTTATGTACAAGAGAGAGAAAGTGATTTTGAAAAGGAAAATAAGTAGGAGCACTAATTAGTGCCACCACTAATGATGTGGCACCCACTGCCACAATGTTGTTGTGTCTATTTTGTTTTTTTTGTTTTTTGAAAAAGTGGATGCTACATCATTAGTGGTTGCTTTAGAGCACCACTTTTAGTGGGTCTCTAGCATTGCCCTTTTGAAAATTATTTTGAAAAAATTACTAACCAAACAAGTTTTTTTTAAAAAAATTCTCAAAATCACTCTACAAATCCAAACCAAACATATTCGAAATTTTTTCAAAATAAAATTATTCAAAATATGAAGGGTATGATACGGTATAAAATATTACTAGTTTCTGTTGATATTTTTTGTTGATGACATATTTATTTTTTGTGAAAAAATTTAGTGATTTTTTTTTTTTCTTTTGGATTGATATTTTGTTTTTAACTTTACTTGAACTTTTTACCTATTTGACTTTTTTTTAATATCAGTGTAAATTTATGTCTATCTGTTTAAATTTTTTTATCTATCTATTCAAATTTTTTGTCTACTTGTTCAAATTTTTTGTCTATCTGTTTAAATTTTTTTTATTTGTTGAATTTTTTAACCTACATTTCGAATTTTTATAACCCATTTTTTCTAGCTATTCAAATTCACATTATTTTCAACATTTATCTCTCTATCTATTCTGTTTCACTCCGTTTTTCTCTTTCTATCTGTTGAATTGTTACACCTCTCTTCCCTCTCTTTATCTGTTGAATTGTTACACCTCTCTGTTTTTAATCTCTATTGAATTTAATATGTCAAATTTTTGAACAAATTTGTCCATTTTTTTATCTGTTGCAAATTGTTTCTTCATCATCATCATCAACGATAATCTGTTTCTTCTTCATCAACAACATCAACAATCAATGTGCCTGTTTGGTGCAGCTTATAAGCTGCTTATTTCAGCTTTCAGCTTAATTTAAGTTATTTTGATGTGTTTAGTTTAGCTTATAGCTTTTTGGAAGTCAGAAATCAGCTTATTCTTTGAGTTGGGCAGGAGATACTTAATTTATAAGTCAGAAATCAGCTTATGTTCATAGTTATAAGCTATAAGCTGTTTAGGCATAAATTATAAGTACTTTCCCACAGCTCTACCAAACAGGGCCAAAAAAAAAAAAAAAAAAAAATCATCATGTGTTACAAGAAGAACTGCAAAAAAATAAATAAATAAAATTGAACAGATATAGCCCCAACTTTGCTTTTCTCTTTCTTCAAATCTTTTTCCATTTGTTGCCTTGTATTGACCTAGATCAACAAAAACCAAACCACACCAAAACTAATCAATAGATAAAATATAAGAACAAACAAGTACATAAACAAGAACAAAAAAAATTCAACAAAAACAAAATTTCTTCTTATTTCTCTTGGTCTTCACTCATTCAAGTCATCCGCCATCATGTATACATTTACAAGAAATAAGCAAAGAATCAATGGATGTGGAATGTGTATCCAAAATTAGATACTTCCTCTATACATATATATAGATATAAATACCCAAGTATATATGTATATATGCTTCCCTAAACATAAAAGCACAAATCATTTTCAAACAAACTAATAAATACATAAATCTATCTATAATATGTATATATTTTTTGTGACAGAGACGAATATGAAGAGAACAGAAAAGAAAAATGACAATGAACATACCTCCGGGACGATGGAAAAACGCAAGATCCATAACCTACAAATCACAACAAAAAAATATCAAATAATAAGCTTCATTCTTTCTATATATACATAAAAGGTATAGAGAGAATAAGGACAGAGAAAGCAACGGTCCAAATCGCATGAATCTCATTCGATCTAGCAAACATTGATGACCATTATCATCATGATGTTGTTTTAGTCCCAATCTCAGTCGATATAAAGATTCTCACGAGAGAAGATATAGGTAATAAAGCGTTCTCGTCGTGTTTGTTGAACGGAAAGTTTCAAGCTCTGCCATCGACATTGGTTGCAACCATGTCGTTGATCCTTACCAGCAACAGATTTGTGAGGCTGGGACGAGAGTAGATCTCAGCAAAGACAGCATAGATCTTGACAGCCAACGGCGTAGATCCAAGCCAAGACAAACTCAATCTGACCAAATTTGAAAAGACGGCGATGGTGTGGGGAAGAACGGTGGTGGTGGTAGTATCGAATATGGAAGAGAGATGGAGAGAGAGAGAGAGAGAGAGAGGTTTTGACAGCAATGGACATAGTTGAGAAAGATAAGGCTGAGACATTCTTGGACTCACTGCCAAAGAATGGGGAGAAAATGAACAATGAGTGTGTGAGAGAGAGAGAGAGAGAGAGAGAGAGAGAGCAAGCGAAAAAAGAGTCAGAAGTGGTGATGTCAATGATAGAGCCGCCGGGCGAAGACCGGAGAGAATGCCAGAAAAGTGATGGAACTCCAGAGAGAGGGTTAGGGTTTGGAGATGAAGAGAGAGGGAGAGATAATAGAAGAGAGATAGTGTAACTGTGAATTTATGATGTTGAATATTTGAATATCGTGTATATGATATATATATCTATACTATTGTAGACGTCCCCGAACGCCCCGGGAGGATGAGTCTCGTTCTGTTCGTTTTGGGCTCGCTACAGTTCAGGACTCTCAAATTGTCACGGTTCTTAATCTGAACCAAAGAGTCCAAATCTGGCAAATCGTTTTGAGAAACAGATTTTTGAAAAAAAGTGTCAAACATGGACTGCTTTGCCAGATACAGAGTCGCTACCTAAATATTTTATTTTGGGAAATTTAAGAAACCCTGACTCGGTGCCAAAGGCCACGTGTCCGTCATCACCAAAGTTGTCTCGGCTCGGGAACTTGGGTACGATTGGGGAAGGTCAACTATGAGCACCCCCTCTCGCCCGATCCGAAGATCGGCCTCTACTAACCGTGATATCCGTTTTTGAAAACATAACATGGATGAGCATGCAACAGCATGTGGGAATGGTCTTAAACCAAAATGGGCAGCTCTCAAATAGGCCCAAATCAGGTTATTAGCCTAGAATTACTATGTTATGCGCACAGCAAACAAGTATAGACTGGATCGCCTAAATTGGAACAAAACATTCATGTTCGCTTTTTGAAAATGGTTTGCTACCCGCAGGTAGGCTTAAAATGCAGATTTTGCCACCCGCTAGTGGGCTTAAAAAGATGGTTTTGCCACTATCTAGTGGGCTTAAAACTCACAGTTTTAATGCATTATTCCAATTTAGGTAATTCGACCTCCACCCACAGGCACTTAAGCAATTATATCACATAAGCAGCTAGCCTCATGGTAATCATGCTATTATGGCAACACTCACACGCATGCGGTATGCTAAAGCATAACTGCTTACCTAGTACTCCGAGCTAAAACAAAAGCTAGTTAGTAATCAATGCATGATCCTAGCTCATGTTAAGATGGCTAATGCAACACATACAAGATGCAACTACAATAGGCTCGGCTATTCTAAGATGGCATGTGATGATGCTACAACTAACATGTATTCAACTTCAGAATTTGAAATACAAATGCAGTTAGAATGATGTGCCGAGCCCGGTGCATGCAAAACGAATGAATGGATGCAAACATGCTATCATACTGTATGCTAATTGAAACATTCCCTAGACTAACCATTGAAAGCTAGTAAATAAAAGGGAAGAAAGACGTGGGGTTGGAAGACATACACACACTCACGCACACTTATTACACAATTGCCCTCGCTCGGTGCAGAAAGAAGGGTGGCCGCAGCCCCGTCTCGAGAAGCGGATGATGCATGCTTGACTCGTCTCGCTCGGAAACTCGCTGCCATAGCACTGTTGCCTCTGTTTACACTGCCTTGCCCCTCTAAAAAATTCTGAAAGTCCCCAGAACTGCTCCTTGAGCGTTGTGGAATGTCACCGGCCAGAACAAAATGCCACCGCCATGGAATGGGATTATCGGCCAATCTATTGCTCTCGGCCAAACATGTTTTGCCGGTGGGCACCCAACACTGCCGGCCGCCCAATTTTTCCTGCTGAATACCATGCAGCCTGAAGCATGAGTCTTAAGGCCGGTCAAAAATGGGGTGTCTATAGTTGCCCCTCTTTGACAGAACTCGAAAGTCATAACAATGACGGCAGAGGGCAAGCAGTGTATGGCATGGAATTTTCAAACAAATGTGTGCATGGCTACACTCCCTATCATGCAATGAACTCAAGGGAGCGTGGTCCTCGACCCTCGGACCATCAATTGTGCATCTCGATGCATGATGGCCTAAGAGGCCAAGTTTGCGACTTAATGTAAATGCATGCAACACACAAATAAATGCTAACACCCTTTCATATTGAAGTCAAGGGCATTGGCTACCGAGGGTTGAGATGTGTTTCGTCACTTGCAGTACAGACACTCCTCACCCCTCAAGTTTGGTTTGGCACCC